ATTTAGGTTTAGTAACAAAAAAAATTAATTTAGGTTTAATAATATAATTTTTTTATAAAGATAATAATTACGTATTATGTTAGTTATCAATGATTATCTTAATTTTATTTTAGATTTTTTATATTTAAAATGAAATGTTTATCCAACATTTGATTATGTTTATCTGCAATTAGTTAGACGAATTCATGTATCAAGTTTTAATAAGTTGTATTTATGCACAATTTACTTATAATATTAAATTTTAAGTAATATGCATCAATAAACAATATTTCACTTATAAAAAATCATTTTTAAGAGTTTTTGTCAAATACTTAATGTTTTATAATATAATATAGATAATTTAATAAAAATGTTTTATCGTTTATCCAAGGATTAATTTTTTAATAAAAAACAAAAAGACTTCCAAACCAAATCAAAGTTGATAATCGGAAATAACGTTATTATTAATTAATAAATAAATAAAAATATATTAAACTATAAATTTATCCAAAAAATATTAGATTATAAGATAAACTTTTTTGAAGAAATAATTTGATAACAGTTAGATTAAAGAAACAAAATGGGCCACACAAACTCACGTTGATCATAGACTCGTCTTGCACTTTTAAATTAATATTATTTTACTATCTTCAATTGTTTTACAGACGTGGTATTGGTTTACAAAACAAGAAAATGAAGTTTAAAACCCATATTTGTTACATGTACTGCAGGGACGGTCCAATCTTTTTGGAAACCCTGCTACATTCAGAAATTTTAATTACATTTACTTAAATAAGGTGACAAAGAATATATGTTAAAATAAAAATAGGCTAAACCTAGAACGATTAACACTCTGAATCTAAACATAAACCATTAATGATTTGACCCTGAAACCAAATAATTAATGGTTCGAACCTAAATAATTGCAATTAAAGTTTTACATAGGTCGACAAAAATACCCTAAATACATGTAAATTTGGGCCTTAAAATTTTGGATGCCCTGTTCAAAATCTCATATTTAACAATGTTAAAGGAGGGTCCTGATTAATTGTTTTTTTAACAAAGATGTGGTCTTATTTAGTTAATATTTTATAAATAAATGTGAAGTTAGATTTTAAAAAATCATGAAATTTGAAAGATGGTGAGATGTGAATAAATGCAGCAAGGGGCATGAAGAGTATGAGATGCAGGTCATATTTGAGGAAGTGAATCTTGGTTTTATATTCAGAATAATAATATGATTATTAAAACATATTATATTGTGAATATTTGAAACAAATAAATAATTATGAAAAATATGTATATTGAAATCAGTGTGGCTATCACCATCCATCTTTTGATTTTAATATCCACAGGACTGCTTATATACTTGGAATCTAGTGATTGCTTATTATATATTTCCTTCCACTTATTACATTTTGTATTCCATCTTCCCCAATCCAAAACAAACTCCACCTTCTTTTGTGCATTTATAATTACAATTAAAATGAAAAAATAATATGCTTTTTTTGTTTTAAGACCATAAAAATGACTCACTATTTTTGGTTTTGACTCTTCTAAATAATTTTGACAGGAGATCTCTACTCTTTTTTATACATCGCAAGAATACAATTTACATAGAGAATACCATTTACAGGGATTTCAGTTAAGATACCGTAAGAGGGTACTCGCCTTTCTCGAATTGATGAATTGACAAACTTGAAGGATCAAATCCGAAACGAGTGAAAATTAGGAACCAAATTAAACTTTTATTTATAGATATGTTAATAAAAATATTACAAGTATAAATCAAGGAATCTTTACCAATTTAAACAAACATAGCTGTAATATTCAGGTTTTAAGATTTGAGTTAAGATTTTTTTGGATTATATATATATATATATATATATATATATATATATATATATAAATGTTCGACAGAGTGTGTGTGTGTGTGTGCCGCCATAATGGTGTCTCCTCTTACTATTAATAGTAAGAGGGAAGGATGTAGAGGGTTTATACACTTGCTATAATAGAAAAGTTTTCTTTGTTATATCATCCGAATTTGGCAGAAAAAGGAAGAAGAAGGGAATTCAAACTTTGTTTTTCAGTTTATGTTTAAAGGCGAGTGTTTTATGCTTTGATGTATCAATTGTGGTATAACAATTGTAATTGTTTGAAATGGTTTATTATGTTTCATATATTATTCGGATTTCATCTAAACCGCTCAAGTGTTAACCGGATATTTCTTTAAACCGCCCAAGTGTTGTCCGAATATTTTCTTAAACCGCCCAAGTGTTGACCGGCTTATTCTTAAACCGCCCAAGTGTTGTTCGGATATTTTCTTAAACGCTCAAGTGTTAACCGGATTAAGAGCTAAACCGCTCAAGCCATGTCCGATTTATCTTTTTCTACTCTAAGTAATTGTCCGGATTTCATATCTGGACAAGGTTGACCGGACTTCAAATTCGGCTAATGTGTTGAAGCTTTTGATATGAAATTTCTCAAGATAGATGAAATGGCGGTGTAACTGCGAGAGAGATGAAACGGCGGTGTAACCGCGAGAGAGATGAAACGGCGGTGTAACCGCGAGAGAGATGAAATGACGGTGTAACCGCGAAATAGATGAAAATATATGTGATAGATATAGATAAAATGTTTGTGATATACATGTTTGATTCTAAACTGCTAGTTTAGAAAGTATGTTGTTGGTATGAGTTATATACACTCACTAGACCTTTTGAGTATAACGCTCAGTTGTTGGACTAACCTGTTTTGCAGGTCATCATACTTCGCAGGATAGAGGTAAGGGAAAAGTTTAGAATTGATGACTTTTAGTTACTCATAAATGTATCAAAGAAAGTTTTTGTTAATATGTATTTTTTTAAAACGATGTTACATTTTGTGTTATGAGTAATATCATGTGGATTATATGTATTGTGGAAATTGTTGGTTGTTACAATAGCTTAATATGTTACATTTTGTAAACTATGATATAATTAATAACAAAGGAGTTGTAGATTCTAAACTAAAACACATATACTATGACCATTTAATTATTATTAATTATTCTATGAATATTGTTTTTAAATGAGTTAGGTTGACAGATAACATATTTGAAAAAAATGTTTTTTTCAAATATTAATTGCTTCTATGTGAAACCTATAAAATATTGTAAATTAGTATTATT